TTACTGTAGGATAGTTGTATGCAGAGGAGGGTAGTAGCTGGTTACATTTCCTCAGTTACATTTGCTTGAGTAACTTAAAAAAAAAAAAAAAAAAGTACTTTCAGGGGTTTTACATCATTGTAATTTCATTTTACTTGAGCAAAAACATGACATAGTATCTCTACTCTTACTTGAGTAAAATTTCTGGCTACTCCATCTATTGTGAGTAATTAAATTAATGCAAACAAGCTTATTTTAAACAAATATGCACTATTATGAGACAAACTTTCAAATTTTTTTGTACTTAGTGCTTGCTATTTAAATGTTAATTTCCATCTGCTGAGTACGACAGAGTTTTAGGGCCAGGTTAGAGGGTTTTTTTTTTTTTTTTTTTTCGAGAATAAAGTCATCATATTTTTGAGAAAAAAAGTTATAACATTACAACAATAAAGTAATAATAAGTACAAGAATAAAGTTGCAACATTACGAGAATAAAGTCTTAATATTATGAGAATAAAGTCCTAATATTACTGGAATAAAGTTGTATTTTATGACAACTCCTACAAGAAGCACTTTCCTCCCTAAACTGAGAAATGTGGAGCTGGCCTGGCCCTAATACTCCCTTGTAGCAGTGTCATTTGGAGGTTGAGTGAAAATACAGTAAACAGTTTACTCTAATTTAACATGTATACATACTGTTACTATTGATTTTCTAAGTTTTATAACTGAAAACATTTATTTTGATTAATGTCAATTCCACCTATTTTTTTTATATAATGAATGTATGTTACATGTTTATTTCTATGAATATGCACCAAAGTTTCACATCATTTTGTAAAATGTTAAATTGGTTATGATCATGGATAAAAAAGTAGATCAGTTACTCAGTATTTGAGTATCCTCTTTACCTTTAAGAAAGTACAGTCTATTTAGTGATTACAATATCTGAAAATATTTCAATTGTCTACTTTTGTGGCATTGTGCAGACCTAATTGGATTCAAACTATCTTGATAATCATCAAAAAAAAGTAACTCAAATAGTGTGGAAAGAAATGCTTTTTTTTATTTTTATATTTCTTCTAAAAAAAGTTCTTGCATCTCTTTCAGGGCTTCCCAGTGATCTTCCATGGGGTTANTTCTTGCATCTCTTTCAGGGCTTCCCAGTGATCTTCCATGGGGTTAAAGGTCTTGAAACCCGCGAGTCCAGCAGCCCCTCATTCTTTAATGTTGCAGAAATAGAAGTGCTCATGGAGTATGTCAAAAAACTGTTTCAGACACAGGGGAAGAAAGGGCTGGCTAAAATAGCCCCAAAAGATATAGGCATCATCGCCCCCTACAGAAAGCAGGTGGGAATTGTTTTCAAACACACAACCCTTGATGGTTGCTTTTTTTTTTTTTTAACAGAATATAATATGTGTTTCTGAAACAAATAACTTTGAGGTGCATCTGAAAACTAAATGGTACAATGGTTTTATATCTTTGTGAAACACAGGTGCAGAAAATACGCAAAGCCTTGGAAAAGGTTGGGAAAGACTTAAAAGTTACTGACATGGGTGATCTTAAGGTAATACATACTAACATCATAGAGGGACAAGTGCTGTATTTTTTTTTTTTTCAGAACTATACGATTGGATGTAGTGAAAATGCGTACACAACCATACATTCAACACTTCATCTTTACAGTGTTTTTTATTACAAAGGTGTACTTAAGTAGCTCCATGATCCTTGTTTGCTGTGCTTGAAAAAAATCTGCATATGATAACGCTGATGTCAGTGTGCTTTGCAGTGGATTCAGTGTTTGAGGATTACCTGATAAGCTGTCTGCAGCCTCCAGAACTAGAAAAAGAACACTCTGTCTTTTTGGACATTGTAATTCTTGTCAGTTTTAAAAAGTCTCTCACCAATAACTTGGCCTTACATATGTTGATTAACATTTTACAGAACTCATTGAGAACTGTAGACCTTTGTTAACCATCTTGAAGTTTTTTCATTGGATAAATCTCTGCAATTTTGACTATTTTGATAAATTCTGTATTCTCTTACATTATACTGGATTTTGGTTTCTACTTTAAAGCCTTTAATATTCTGCTGCTCTTAAATGTTTACCTGAATTGTTTCCCAGTTAATCAATGAGTTTATCAAAGGCTTGTGTTATAAAAACAGTGTCTGAAACAACACATTTTGCACTGATAATTAAAGAGGGACATATGCCTGTGTCCTTAGGCAAGAGCCCCCTACTATTTGTTGTAGAATGAATGACCTGGTTGATCAGCACAACTATTATTTTAAATCCCCCTCCTGTCAGTTATTTATTTTATGTTTTACTGCATGCTTTAACTGTTGTTTCACTGTTGATCTAATTGTAAAACATTGTCTGCAAAAATAGGTTTTTTTTTAAATAAATACCAGTTATTGATCTGGTTAGTGATGTAACATATCTGTACTTGTGTTTATGTATGTGGCAGGTCGGTTCAGTCGAGGAGTTTCAAGGACAAGAGAGGAGAGTAATCCTGGTGTCCACAGTTAGAAGCAGTCCCAGATACTTTGATATTGACAAAAACTTCAGCCTGGGCTTTGTCAAGAATGAGAAGGTTAATAAAACAGCCACACACGAAGACGTTGAATATTCGAGATAATCCTAACTGTCTTTGTTTCTTCAGAGATTCAACGTGGCTGTGACTCGAGCCAAAGCTCTGCTGATCGTGGTGGGAAACCCCCTGGTATTGAATGCAGATTCTACCTGGGCCCGGTAATATTTCATATGCAAACGGTTGCAGACTTCAATATAATAGAAGTGAAATCAGAGCTTCCATAGAAGAAAATTCTGTTGTTTTTTCCTTTCTTTGTTTTTAAGCTTTATCGAGTACTGCAAAGAGGAAGGAGGCTATGAGGGCTTCACGCATGCTGAGGAAGATGAGGGGGAGATCGTAGCCAGATTGTCTGC